CAGCCGGCCCTGCCGCCTCGCCAGGGATGGCGGCGCCACCTTTGATCTTCGGCCCTTTTACATTGACGTTAAAACCCGACCCGGAACCTTTCGGTGCGGCTGCGTCCAAGGCAGGGGCGTCAAGGTGGAGGCCCGCGCCAGGCCCCTTAACGTCGACACGAGGCGCTTCCACGCTGACTTTTGGACCTTTGACTTCACCGGCGACATCCACGTCGCCCCGGAGGTTTGGTCCTTTCAGCTTCAGGTCAACGGCCGGCAAGGAAATGCCGGGCGACTGCGTTTGAAATTTAGGGCCTTTCAATTCCACGTCGGGTCCTTCCAACCCAACACCCGCCCCTGAGCCCTTCAGGCCTCCTTTCGCCTGGGGACCCTCAAGGCTGACGCCTACCTCGGCCCCGTTCACACCAGGACCAGAAATACCAAACTGGGGAAGCTTGAGGGACGGGAGCTTGATGGTGCCGCCCAGAATTTCGAAGCCGACGTCGGACGCGTCCACTGATGCTTTGGGGCATTTAACGCCGGCAGAAACGTCAAGGTCTCCTTTCAGCTTTGGTCCTTTCAGGCTTACGTCCAAATCCGGGGCGGAAACGTCAACCGAGGGCCCTCTGACATCGATGCCCGGGATGCCGAGATTGAGATTTGCGCCCGGGGCTTTCGCATCCGCCTCCATTTGGGGGACGGAGCAGTCGACGCCTCCTTTTACGCTCAGATCAGGTGCCTCCATAGCGGGGGATTTAAACTTCGGCAGCTTCAGCTTTCCTCCCCAGCCGCCAATGTCAACGCCTGGCGCGTCCAGGCTGACACTTGGCCCTTCCGCAGAGCTCGAAACGTCCAGGTCTCCCTTTATTTTTGGTCCTTTCAGGTTCCCATCAAAATCGGGCCCAGAGATTTGGGGCCCTTGGAGCTTTACGTCCACGCCTCGGAGGTTCACGTCAGCCGAAGGGAGGCTCACGCTTCCTTCCACGGCTGGGACCGAGACAGCCAAGTTTGCATCCGGCATTTCCAGACCCATTTTCCCCGCCGTGGGCAGTTTCAGCTTTCCTTCGGGACCTTCCAGTTCTGCCCCAGGAACGCCGACTTCACCTCTCACTTTTGGTCCTTTCACGTTGAAGTCGACATCTGGCACCGGGACCGAGGGAAGGGCGACGTCAAGGGCGGGTCCTTTCAGGTCGCCCTCCATTTTCAAGTCCCCTACGCCCACCTGCCCACTGGGAAGCTTGAACTTCGGTTTCTTCAGGCTCACGTCAGAAGCTTCGAGGTCCACGTTGAGACTCGGGCCTTTTCCATCACCTTTGGCAGTTGGCACAGAGACCTCTAGATCAGGCGCTTTCAGTTCCCCCTCTATTTTGGGGGCTGCCAAAGCAGCATCCCCTCTGAATCTGTGCGATTTAAGATCAAATTCAACATCCGGGAAGGAGATTTTCCCAAACATGGGTTTCTTCCCTCTGGGGGACTTCACCGTAGCATCGCCTTTTATCGTCACGTCCGGACCAGCTACGTTCGCATCCAGGTCGGGAGATTTCAAATTCGCATCGAGCTCTCCACCGGCCCCATTCACGTCGAACCCACCTTTCTTCCCTTTCACTTTAGGGCCGCTCATATGAAGTTTCGGCATCTTGAACTTGCTCTTCTTACCCTTTCCAGCAACGCTGACATCGGGCGACTCCACGTTCAGCTCCGCCTCAGGCAGATCCACTTCTGCCCCCGGGACCTTGATTTCCGCCTTCGGGCTCTTCATCCCAAACCCAAACTTTGACTTCTTAAACTTGGGAAGCTTGACATTGGCCTCCGGGCCTTCAACGTTCAGGTCAGGACATTCGACGTCGACTTCAGGGCATTTGACTCCAAATTCTGGGCCTTTGAGATCAACTTCGGGACCTTTCAGGTTACCTTCTATCTTTGGGGTCGAAACGTCAAAGCCTCCCTTCGTTTTGTGGCCTTTCAAATTCAAGTCTATCTCAGGCATTGAGATTTTCGGAACGTTCACGTGCATTTCTGGCATCTTCAGTTTAGGACCTTTCAGTTTGCCCTCTGGACCTTCGACGCTCACGTCCGGGACGCTGATATCTACCTTGGGGCCCGAAAGATCGACCTCCGTCTTTGGCAGGTTCACGTCCACGTCGGGACCTTCTCCTTTAAAGCCAAACTTGGGCAGCTTCATCTTCGGCAGCTTCATTTTTCCCTCCAGACCATCAACGTCAACCTCCGGGCCCTCGATATCTACTCTGGGGCCCTTGATATCAATTTCGGGACCCTTCAGACCTCCCTCGAGCTTTGGGCCCTGAAGGTCAGCATCGCCTTTCAGCCTCAGCCCCTTCAGGTTCAAGTCTATGTCTGGCATGGAGATCTGGGGGGTCTTGACGTGCATTTCCGGCATCTTGATCCCGGGCCCTTTCAGTTTTCCATCCGGCCCTTCGATGTTCACATCAGGTGCCCGAAGGTCCAACTTGGGGCCTTCGATGTCAACACCTGGACGCTGCAAATCCCCTTCCAACTTGGGTGCCGAGACCTCCACGTCGCCCTTCAGCCTGGGGCCTTTCAGGTTAAAGTCGACGTCGGGCATGGAGAACTTGGGCGCCTTGATGTGCATGTCTGGCATCTTGAACTTGGGGCCTTTGAGTTTCCCTTCCGGCCCTTCGATGGTCACATCGGGAGCCTCAACGTCTATTTTGGGGGCTTGCGCATCAATCTGGGGGGCTTTCAAATCACCTTCAAGCCTGGGCCCGGAAACATCTACGCCTCCTTTCAGTTGCGGCCCCTTGATGTTGAAGTCGACATCAGGGATGGAGACCTCGGGGGCTTTAATGTGCATTTCAGGCATCGTAAATTTGGGACCTTTGACTTTTCCATCCGCGGTCAGGTCAGGAGCCTCTACATCTACGCTGGGGCCTGAAAGGGCCACGTCCCCCTTTGGGAAGTTCACGTCCACATCCACTCCCTCCCCTTTAAAGCCAGGCATGGAAAACTTGGGCATTTTGAATTTAGGCAGCTTGAATTTCCCCTCCGGGCCGTCAATATCAACATCGGGGGCACCCATGTCTAACTTAGGAGCGCCGACATTGACCTCTGGACCTTTCAGTTCACATTCGAGTCCTGACACCGACGTGTCTACGTCTCCTTTTACTTTGGGACCTTTCAGGTTCAGATCAAAGTCCGGCGTGGAGATTTTGGGAGCCTTGAGGTGCAGGTCCGGCATCTTGAACTTGGGGCCCTTCAGCTTCCCTTCAGGGCCTTTGATGTCCACGTCGGGGGCCTCGATCTCAACCTTAGGGCCTTCCAGGTCAGGTGCAGAAACCTCCACATCCCCCTTCACTTTCGGACCCTTCAGGTTCAAGTCAAAGTCTGGCATGGAGATCTTGGGTGTCTTGAAATGCATCTCGGGCATCTTGAACTTCGGCCCCTTCAGCTTCCCCTCTGGCCCTTCAGCCTGGGGCCTTTCAGGTTCAAGTCAATGTCGGGCATGGAGATCTTGGGTGCCTTGAAGTGCATGTCTGGCATCTTGAACTTGGGACCCTTCAGCTTCCCCTCTGGGCCTTCCAGCTCAACATCAGGAAGGTCAACATCGACTTTGGGACCTTTGATGTCAATTTCGGGGCCCTTCAAGCCACCTTCCAGCTTGGGAACCGACACTTCCACATCCCCCTTCACTTTCGGACCCTTCAGGTTCAAGTCAAAGTCTGGCATGGAGAACTTGGGTGCCTTGATGTGCATGTCTGGCATCTTGAACTTGGGGCCCTTCAGCTGCCCTTCAGGGCCTTTGATGTCCACGTCGGGGGCCTCGATGTCGACTTTGGGGCCCTTGATGTCCACCTCGGGACCCTTCAGGTCACCTTCCAGCTTGGGAACCGACACTTCCACATCCCCCTTCACTTTCGGACCTTTCAGGTTCAAGTCAATGTCGGGCATGGAGATCTTGGGTGCCTTCATGTGCATCTCGGGCATCTTGAACTTGGGACCCTTCAGCTTCCCCTCTGGCCCTTCAGCCTGGGGCCTTTCAGGTTCAAGTCAAAGTCTGGCATGGAGATCTTGGGTGCCTTCATGTGCATCTCGGGCATCTTGAACTTCGGCCCCTTCAGCTTCCCCTCTGGCCCTTCCAGCTCAACATCAGGAAGGTCAACATCAACTTTGGGACCTTTGATGTCAATTTCGGGGCCCTTCAAGCCACCTTCCAGCTTGGGAACCGACACGTCCACGTCGCCCTTCAGCTTGGGGCCCTTGAGCTTCCCCTCTGGCCCCTCCAGCTCAACATCAGGAAGGTCAACATCGACTTTGGGACCTTTGATGTCAATGTCGGGGCCCTCCAAGCCACCTTCCAGCTTGGGAACAGACACGTCCACGTCGCCCTTCAGCTTGGGGCCCTTGAGCTTCCCCTCTGGCCCTTCCAGCTCAACATCAGGAAGGTCAACATCGACTTTGGGACCTTTGATGTCAATTTCGGGGCCCTTCAAGCCACCTTCCAGCTTGGGAACAGACACGTCCACGTCGCCCTTCAGCTTGGGGCCCTTGAGATTGAAGTCAACGTCGGGCATGGAGAACTTGGGTGCCTTGATGTGCATGTCTGGCATCTTGAACTTGGGACCCTTCAGCTTCCCCTCTGGGCCTTCCAGCTCAACATCAGGAAGGTCAACATCGACTTTGGGACCTTTGATGTCAATGTCGGGGCCCTCCAAGCCACCTTCCAGCTTGGGAACCGACACTTCCACATCCCCCTTCACTTTCGGACCCTTCAGGTTCAAGTCAATGTCGGGCATGGAGATCTTGGGTGTCTTGATGTGCATCTCGGGCATCTTGAACTTCGGCCCCTTCAGCTTCCCCTCTGGCCCTTCCAGCTCAACATCAGGAAGGTCAACATCGACTTTGGGACCTTTGATGTCAATTTCGGGGCCCTTCAAGCCACCTTCCAGCTTGGGAACAGACACGTCCACATCCCCCTTCACTTTGGGGCCTTTCAGGTTCAAGTCAATGTCGGGCATGGAGATCTTGGGTGTCTTGAAATGCATCTCGGGCATCTTAAATTTGGGACCCTTTATTCCCTTCTGGGCCCTCTGGGCCCTCGATTTGAACATCGGGGGCACTAACGTCCAACTCAGGACCTTTAACATCAACTTTCGGCCCTTTCAGGTCACCTTCCACACACGGCACGGACACATCCACATCCCCTTTCACTTTCGGGCCTTTCAGGTTCAAATCGAAGTCCGGCATAGAAATTTTAGGAGCCTTAAAATGCATCTCTGGCATCTTCAATTTGGGGCCTTTCAATTTTCCTTCTGGTCCTTCAATCTCCACATCGGGAACATCTATGTCGACTTTGGGTCCTTTTATATCCAGTTCCGGACCCTTCAGGTCACCTTCCAGCTTGGGAACAGACACGTCCACGTCCCCCTTCACTTTCGGACCCTTCAGGTTCAAGTCAATGTCGGGCATGGAGATCTTGGGTGCTTTGATGTGCATCTCGGGCATCTTGAACTTGGGGCCCTTCAGCTTCCCCTCTGGCCCTTCAATGTCCAGCTCCGGACCTTCAATATCCACCTTCGGACCAGAAACATCCAGGTCTCCTGTCGGCAGGTTCACGTCCACCTCCGGGCCTTCTCCTTTCAGCCCCGGCATCCCGAACTTGGGCATTTTGAACTTGGGCATTTTGAGTTTACCCTCTGGGCCCTGAATGTCCACATCTGGCACGTCAATGTCCACCTTGGGGCCTCCAATATTGACGTCAGGAGCCCTAAAATCCCCTTCTAGCTTCGGAGCAGAACCTTCTACGTCTCCTTTCAGCTTGGGACCTTTGAGGTTTAAGCTGGCATCAGGCATTGAAATTTTGGGAGCCTTGATGTGCATCTCCGGCATTTTAAACTTGGGACCTTTCAGTTTTCCTTCTCGCCCTTCAACATCCAGCTCAGGAGCATCAATGTCAACCTTTGGTCCTTCGATACTGACGTCTGGCCCACTCAAGTCCCCTTCCAGTTTTGGCACTGAGAGATCGACGTCCGCCCCTCCTTTTGACTTGGGACCTTTCAAGTTCAAATCAAAGTCCGGCATGGAAATATTGGGAGCCTTGATATTCATTTCGGGCATTTTAAATTTGGGGCCTTTCAATTTTCCTTTGGGACCTTCAAGGTCAAGGTCAGGAACCTCTACCTCCACTTTTGGTCCTTTCACGTGCAAATCCGAGCCCTTCAGGTCCACCTCGGGCAGAGAGATGTCCATATCCGCCTTCGCTTTGGGGCCTTTCAGGTTCAGGTCAATGTCGGGCATGGAGATCTTGGGTGCCTTGATGTTCATTTCCGGCATCTTAAATTGGGGGCCCTTGAACTTCCCCTCCGGCCCTTCAATTTGGAAGCCAGCACCTTCGCTATCCAGCTTGGGACCCGAAACATCCAGCTCTCCTTTCGGAACGCTAACGTCCACCTCTGGCCCCTCGGCCTTAAACCCGGACGCACCGAATTTGGGCATTTTGAACTTGGGCATTTTGATTTTACCCTCCGGCCCGTGAATGTCCACGTCGGGGGCCTCGATGTCGACTTTGGGGCCCTTGATGTCCACCTCGGGACCCTTCAGTTCCCCTTCCAACTTCGGGCTGGAAACATCTAACTCTCCTTTTAGTTTATGCCCTTTCAGGTTTAGCTCCACGTCTGGCATTGAAACTTTGGGTGATGAAATACTCAGGAAAGGCATTTTAAATTTCGACCCTTTTGATTTTGCCTGTACATCCACGTCTGGAGCGTGAACATCGACTTTCGGACCGGATATTTCAACGTCCGGTTTTTTCAGTTTCACATCCACGTCAGGGCTTTGCACTTTAGGACCAGAGAAGCCAAATTTTGGAAGTTTAAACCGAGATTTTTTAGCCTTTCCTTCTAGATCAAGCTTCGGGCCCTCGAGCTCGACCTCTGGCCCTTTGATGTCGAGCTTCGGGCTTTTCAGCTCACCCTCTATTTTGGGGAGGGAAGGATCAAGGTCAGCTTTCAGTTTGGGGCCTTTCAAATTTAAGTCAATCTCTGGCATGGAGATTTTAGGAACATTGAATTGCATGTCAGGCTTCTTAAATTTAGGGCCCTTAAGTTTTCCTTCCGGGCCTTCAATGTCCAGGTCAGGAACGGTAACGTCAACCTTTGGACCCGAAATAGCAACATCGGCTTCAGGTAGATTTACGTCAACTTCTGGGCCCTCTCCTTTCAACCCGGACAACCCAAACTTGGGCATTTTGAACTTGGGTATTTTTATTTTACCTTCCGGACCGTGAATGTCCATGTCGGGGGGTTCAATGTCGACTTTGGGGCCTTTGATGTCCACCGGACCCGAAATAGCAACATCGGCTTCAGGTAGATTTACGTCAACTTCTGGGCCCTCTCCTTTCAACCCGGACAACCCAAACTTGGGCATTTTGAACTTGGGTATTTTTATTTTACCTTCCGGACCGTGAATGTCCATGTCGGGGGGTTCAATGTCGACTTTGGGGCCTTTGATGTCCACCTCGGGGCCCGTCAGGTCACCTTCCAGCTTGGGAACAGACACGTCCACGTCGCCCTTCAGCTTGGGGCCCTTGAGATTGAAGTCAACGTCGGGCATGGAGAACTTGGGTGCCTTGATGTGCATGTCTGGCATCTTGAACTTGGGGCCCTTCAGCTTCCCCTCTGGCCCTTCAACGTCCAGCTCTGGACCTTCAATATCCACCTTCAGACCAGAAACATCCAGGTCTCCTGTTGGCAGGATCCACATCAGGAGCTTCTATATCCACTTTAGGACCTTTGATATCCATCTCGGGGCCTTTCAAGTCACCCTCTAGTTTGGGGGCTGAAACATCCACGTCTCCCTTCAGCTTAGGACTTTTCAGGTTCAAATCGATGTCGGGCATGGAGATTTTTGGTGTCTTGAAGTGCATTTCAGGCATTTTGAACTTGGGGCCTTTAACTTTTGCTTCTGGACACTCTAGGTCAACGTCGGGAACGTTAACATCCAGTTTAGGGCCTTGGACGTCAACGCCCGGGCCTTTCAAATCACCCTCAAGTTTCGGAAGAGAAACGTCCACGTCCCCCTTCACTTTGGGGCCTTTCAGGTTCAGGTCAAAGTCCGGCATGGAGATCTTGGGTGCCTTGATGTGCATCTCGGGCATCTTGAACTTGGGGCCCTTCAGCTTCCCCTCTGGCCCCTCCAGCTCAACATCAGGAAGGTCAACATCAACTTTGGGACCTTTGACGTCAATGCCCGGGCCTTTCAAATCGCCCTCAAGTTTCGGAAGAGAGACGTCCACGTCCCCCTTCACTTTGGGGCCTTTCAGGTTCAGGTCAAAGTCCGGCATGGAGATCTTGGGGGCTTTGAAATGCATGTCGGGCATCTTAAATTTGGGACCCTTTACCTTCCCTTCTGGACATTCTAGCTCAACATCCGGAGCTTCTATATCCACTTTCGGACCTTTTACTGTAACCTCAGGCCCTTTCAGGTCACCTTCTAACGTGGGAATGGAAACATCAACATCCCCCTTTCCTTTTGGACCTTTCAAGTTCAGATCAAAGTCCGGCATGGAGATCTTGGGAGCCTTAAAATGCATCTCAGGCATCTTAAATTTGGGGCCTCTCAACTTCCCCTCTGGGACCTCAATATCCACATCAGGAGCTTCTATATCCACTTTAGGACCTTTGATATCCATCTCGGGGCCTTTCAAGTCACCCTCTAGTTTGGGGGCTGAAACATCCACGTCTCCCTTCAGCTTAGGACTTTTCAGGTTCAAATCGATGTCGGGCATGGAGATTTTTGGTGTCTTGAAGTGCATTTCAGGCATTTTGAACTTGGGGCCTTTAACTTTTGCTTCTGGACACTCTAGGTCAACGTCGGGAACGTTAACATCCAGTTTAGGGCCTTGGACGTCAACGCCCGGGCCTTTCAAATCACCCTCAAGTTTCGGAAGAGAAACGTCCACGTCCCCCTTCACTTTGGGGCCTTTCAGGTTCAGGTCAAAGTCCGGCATGGAGATCTTGGGTGCCTTGATGTGCATCTCGGGCATCTTGAACTTGGGGCCCTTCAGCTTCCCCTCTGGCCCCTCCAGCTCAACATCAGGAAGGTCAACATCAACTTTGGGACCTTTGACGTCAATGCCCGGGCCTTTCAAATCGCCCTCAAGTTTCGGAAGAGAGACGTCCACGTCCCCCTTCACTTTGGGGCCTTTCAGGTTCAGGTCAAAGTCCGGCATGGAGATCTTGGGGGCTTTGAAATGCATGTCGGGCATCTTAAATTTGGGACCCTTTACCTTCCCTTCTGGACATTCTAGCTCAACATCCGGAGCTTCTATATCCACTTTCGGACCTTTTACTGTAACCTCAGGCCCTTTCAGGTCACCTTCTAACGTGGGAATGGAAACATCAACATCCCCCTTTCCTTTTGGACCTTTCAAGTTCAGATCAAAGTCCGGCATGGAGATCTTGGGAGCCTTAAAATGCATCTCAGGCATCTTAAATTTGGGGCCTCTCAACTTCCCCTCTGGGACCTCAATATCCACATCAGGAGCTTCTATATCCACTTTAGGACCTTTGATATCCATCTCGGGGCCTTTCAAGTCACCCTCTAGTTTGGGGGCTGAAACATCCACGTCTCCCTTCAGCTTAGGACTTTTCAGGTTCAAATCGATGTCGGGCATGGAGATTTTTGGTGTCTTGAAGTGCATTTCAGGCATTTTGAACTTGGGGCCTTTAACTTTTGCTTCTGGACACTCTAGGTCAACGTCGGGAACGTTAACATCCAGTTTAGGGCCTTTGACGTCAACGCCCGGGCCTTTCAAATCACCCTCAAGTTCCGGAAGAGAAACGTCCACGTCCCCCTTCACTTTGGGGCCTTTCAGGTTCAGGTCAAAGTCCGGCATGGAGATCTTGGGTGCCTTGATGTGCATCTCGGGCATCTTGAACTTGGGGCCCTTCAGCTTCCCCTCTGGCCCCTCCAGCTCAACATCAGGAAGGTCAACATCAACTTTGGGACCTTTGACGTCAATGCCCGGGCCTTTCAAATCGCCCTCAAGTTTCGGAAGAGAGACGTCCACGTCCCCCTTCACTTTGGGGCCTTTTAGGGTCAGGTCAAAGTCCGGCATGGAGATCTTGGGGGCTTTGAAATGCATCTCGGGCATCTTAAATTTGGGACCCTTTACCTTCCCTTCTGGACATTCTAGCTCAACATCCGGAGCTTCTATATCCACTTTCGGACCTTTTACTGTAACCTCAGGCCCTTTCAGGTCACCTTCTAACGTGGGAATGGAAACATCAACATCCCCCTTTCCTTTTGGACCTTTCAAGTTCAGATCAAAGTCCGGCATGGAGATCTTGGGAGCCTTAAAATGCATCTCAGGCATCTTAAATTTGGGGCCTCTCAACTTCCCCTCTGGGACCTCAATATCCACATCAGGAGCTTCTATATCCACTTTAGGACCTTTGATATCCATCTCGGGGCCTTTCAAGTCACCCTCTAGTTTGGGGGCTGAAACATCCACGTCTCCCTTCAGCTTAGGACTTTTCAGGTTCAAATCGATGTCGGGCATGGAGATTTTTGGTGTCTTGAAGTGCATTTCAGGCATTTTGAACTTGGGGCCTTTAACTTTTGCTTCTGGACACTCTAGGTCAACGTCGGGAACGTTAACATCCAGTTTAGGGCCTTGGACGTCAACGCCCGGGCCTTTCAAATCACCCTCAAGTTCCGGAAGAGAAACGTCCACGTCCCCCTTCACTTTGGGGCCTTTCAGGTTCAGGTCAAAGTCCGGCATGGAGATCTTGGGGGCTTTGAAATGCATGTCGGGCATCTTAAATTTGGGACCCTTTACCTTCCCTTCTGGGCCCTCGATGTCTATGTCAGGAGCTTCGATGTCCACTTTGGGCCCTTTGAGTTCCAGATCCAGCCCTTTCACATCACCCTCTATCTTCGGCACAGAAACATCCAGTTCTCCCTTCAGTTTGGGACCTTTCAAGTTGAGGTCGACATCAGGCATAGAAAATTTAGGGGCCTTAATATGCATATCCGGCATTTTTATCTTGGGGCCTTTCCATTTGCCCTCAGGACCTTCAACATCCAGATCAGGAACATCAACATCCAACTTCGGACCTTTAATACTCACATCAGGTCCTTTCAAGTCACCCTCTAATTTTGGAACAGAAACATCGGCACCCGCCTTCACTTTGGGGCATTTCAGGTTCAAGTCATTGTCGGGCATGGAGATCTTGGGTGTCTTGATGTGCATCTCGGGCATCTTGAACTTGGGACCTTTCAGTTTTCCTTCAGGACACTCAATGCCCAGCTCTGGACCTTCAATATCCACCTTCGGACCAGAAACATCCAGGTCTCCTGTCGGCAGGCTCACGTCCACCTCCGGGCCTTCCGCTTTGAAGCCAGGCATCCCGAACTTGGGCATTTTGAACTTGGGCATTTTGAACTTGGGCATTTTGAACTTGGGCATTTTGAATTTTCCTTCTGGGCCGTGAATGTCCACGTCGGGGGCCTCGATGTCAACTTTGGGACCTTTGATGTCAATGTCGGGACCCTTCAAGCCACCTTCCAGCTTGGGAACAGACACGTCCACGTCCCCCTTCACTTTGGGGCATTTCAGGTTCAAGTCATTGTCGGGCATGGAGATCTTGGGTGCCTTCATGTGCATCTCAGGCATCTTGAACTTGGGGCCCTTCAGCTTCCCCTCTGGCCCTTCCTTGAAATGCATCTCGGGCATCTTGAACTTGGGGCCCTTCAGCTTCCCCTCTGGCCCTTCCAGCTCAACATCAGGAAGGTCAACATCGACTTTGGGACCTTTGATGTCAATGTCGGGGCCTTTCAAGCCACCTTCCAGCTTGGGAACCGACATGTCCACGTCACCCTTCAGCTTGGGGCCCTTGAGATTGAAGTCAACGTCGGGCATGGAGAACTTGGGTGCCTTGATGTGCATGTCTGGCATCTTGAACTTGGGACCTTTCAGTTTTCCTTCAGGACACTCAATGCCCAGCTCTGGACCTTCAATATCCACCTTCGGACCAGAAACATCCAGGGGCATTTTGAACTTGGGCATTTTGAATTTTCCTTCTGGGCCGTGAATGTCCACGTCGGGGGCCTCGATGTCGACTTTGGGGCCCTTGATGTCCCCCTCGGGACCCTTCAGGTCACCTTCCAGCTTGGGAACCGACATGTCCACGTCACCCTTCAGCTTGGGGCCCTTGAGATTGAAGTCAACGTCGGGCATGGAGAACTTGGGTGCCTTGATGTGCATGTCTGGCATCTTGAACTTGGGGCCCTTCAGCTTCCCCTCTGGCCCTTCCAGCTCAACATCAGGAAGGTCAACATCGACTTTGGGACCTTTGATGTCAATGTCGGGGCCTTTCAAGCCACCTTCCAGCTTGGGAACAGACACGTCCACGTCCACCTTCACTTTGGGGCATTTCAGGTTCAAGTCAATGTCGGGCATGGAGATCTTGGGTGCCTTCATGTGCATCTCAGGCATCTTGAACTTGGGGCCCTTCAGCTTCCCCTCTGGCCCTTCCAGCTCAACATCAGGAAGGTCAACATCGACTTTGGGACCTTTGATGTCAATGTCGGGACCCTTCAAGCCACCTTCCAGCTTGGGAACTGACACGTCCACGTCACCCTTCAGCTTGGGGCCCTTGAGATTGAAGTCAACGTCGGGCATGGAGAACTTGGGTGCCTTGATGTGCATGTCCGGCATCTTGAACTTGGGGCCCTTCAGCTTCCCCTCTGGCCCTTCCAGCTCAACATCAGGAAGGTCAACATCGACTTTGGGACCTTTGATGTCAATGTCGGGACCCTTCAAGCCACCTTCCAGCTTGGGAACTGACACGTCCACTCCCCCTTTCACTCTGGGGCCTTTCAGGTTCAAGTCATTGTCGGGCATGGAGATCTTGGGTGCTTTGATGTGCATCTCGGGCATCTTGAACTTGGGGCCCTTCAGCTTCCCCTCTGGCCCTTCCTTGAAATGCATCTCGGGCATCTTGAACTTGGGACCTTTCAGTTTTCCTTCAGGACACTCAATGCCCAGCTCTGGACCTTCAATATCCACCTTTGGACCAGAAACATCCAGGTCTCCTGTCGGCAGGCTCACGTCCACCTCCGGACCTTCCGCTTTGAAGCCAGGCATCCCGAACTTGGGCATTTTGAACTTGGGCATTTTGAATTTTCCTTCTGGGCCGTGAATGTCCACGTCGGGGGCCTCGATGTCGACTTTGGGGCCCTTGATGTCCACCTCGGGACCCTTCAGGTCACCTTCCAGCTTGGGAACCGACACGTCCACGTCGCCCTTCAGCTTGGGGCCCTTGAGATTGAAGTCAACGTCGGGCATGGAGAACTTGGGTGCCTTGATGTGCATCTCGGGCATCTTGAACTTGGGACCTTTCAGTTTTCCTTCAGGACACTCAATGCCCAGCTCTGGACCTTCAATATCCACCTTTGGACCAGAAACATCCAGGTCTCCTGTCGGCAGGTTCACGTCCCCCTCCGGGCCTTCTCCTTTCAGCCCCGGCCAGGTCAAAGTCCGGCATGGAGATCTTGGGTGTCTTGATGTGCATCTCGGGCATCTTGAACTTGGGGCCCTTCAGCTTCCCCTCTGGCCCTTCCTTGAAATGCATCTCGGGCATCTTGAACTTGGGGCCTTTCAGCTTCCCTTCAGGGCACTCCAAATCAATATTGGGTGCCTCAACATCTAGTTTTGGCCCCTTAATGTCTATTTCTGGCCCTTTCAAATCACCTTCTATCTTAGGAGCCGCAATATCCATTTCTCCTTTCACTTTAGGTCCCTTTAGGTTCAAATCTACGTCTGGCATGGATATTTTAGGTGTTTTGATATTCAGCTTCGGCATCCTGAACTTGGGGCCTTTCCACTTTCCTTCTGGTCCTCCAGCCTCCAGCTCTGGCACGTCAACATCTGCCTCTGGCCCAGAAATATCGATCTCTCCTTTTGGCAGGTTGACATCGATATCGGCTCCCTCAAACTTTGGGCCGGACACGTTAAAATGAGGCAATTTCATTTTTGGCGTTTTCAGCTTGGCTTCTGGACACTCCAGGTTGACATCTGGGACCTCGACATCCATTTTCGGTCCCTTGATATTAACGCCAGATTCTTTCAAGTCACCTTCTACCTTTGGAAGAGAAACATCCATCTCTCCTTTCATTTTATGGCCCTTTAAGTTCAAATCTACATCCGGCATGGATATTTTAGGCGCCTTGATATTAAGCTTAGGCATCTTAAATTTGGGGCCTTTTATTTTCCCTTCAGGGCACTCCAAGTCTACCTCAGGCATATCGACATCCACTCGGGGACCTTCCACATCTATTTTGGGGCCCTTCAGATCTCCAGAGGTCTTCAGACCAGAAATATCTGCATCTCCTTTCAGTTTGGGGGCCTTCAAATTGAGGTCTACATCTGGCATGGACAGTTTTGGCGTCTGAACGTTTAGTTCAGGCATTTTAAATTTGAGACCTTTTCCTTTTCCTTCTGGCCCTTCGATGTCCACGCTCGGCACATCGATATCTACCCTGGGAGCAGAAATGTCCACCTCACCCTTTGGAAGCGTCACGTCAACGTCGGGGCCCTCTCCCTTCAGGCCGGGCACCCCAAACTTGGGCATTTTCAGCTTAGGCATCTTCAGCCTGCCCTCCGGACCGTGGACGTCCACCTCTGGTGCTTCCATGTCAACCTTGGGGCCTTTGATGTCAAGTCCAGGTGCTTTCAGCTCCCCTTCCAGTTTTGGGGCAGAAACGTCCAGGCCTCCTTTCACTCTGGGACCTTTCAGATTCAAGTCGATGTCAGGCATGGATATTTTGGGGGTCTTGACGTGTACCTCTGGCATCGTAACTTTGGGGCCTTTGACATCTACGTCAGGCATGTCCATTCCCAGCTTGGGGCCTTTAACATCGAGCTGAGGTCCTTTCAAGTTGCCACCCATCTTTGGGATAGAAACATCCACGCCTCCCTTAAGCTTAGGTCCCTTCACGTTAATGTCCATATCTGGCGCAGACAAACTGGGCCCTTTCAAATAACCCTCTGGACTTTCAAATTCAACATCGGGAGCCTTTACGTCCATCTTGAGACCCTTGGAGCCAAGTCCTTTGACATCCCCTTCCACTCTGGGAACCGCCACGCCCACATCTCCCTTCACCTGAGGGCCTTTCAGGTTCAGGTTTACATCCGACAGAGAGATTTGGGGCGTTTCGACCTTCTTGAACTTGGGGCCTTTCCATTCTCCTTTGATGGCCGCATCGGGAATGCCAACGGCTACCTCGGACGCTGCTGGTCCCACCTCGCCCTTCGGGAGCACCATTTCCACAGCGGGACCTTCCCCTTGCGAGTCCAAGGCAGTGAATTTTGGGAAGGTCATGCGTGGCATTTTGATTTTTCCCTTGCCGCCGTGAACATCTGCATCGGAAGCCGGGAGCTCTACGCCGGGTCCTTTGGTACCCACGCCGGGGACCTTCGGTTGCGGGGAGGGGACCTTCGCAGCACCCTTCGACCCCATGTCCACCTGCGGCTTCGGGACTTTAACTGAAGGAGCCGAAACTTCAGGTCCCACGACCTGGACAGATGAGGAGGCAACGTCCACGCACGGAGCCTGCAGCTTCGGCGCGGGAACGGCGGTGCCCACCTGCGGAGCTTGAGCTTCGATGCCAGATCCCGCGGTCGGGAACCCAAATCTGGGCATGTTCAAGACGGGAATCTTGATTTTTCCCACATCGACAGCTGGATTTTCCATCGCCGGGAAAGAAACGTCAGCTCCGGGGGCTTTGATGTCTCCCTGAAGACAAGGGGCAGAAGCGTCAGCGTGTGACAGCGTCCCCCCCAGCAGCTCCCCTTGGACATCCGTGCCAGAAACGCGTCCTTTGCCATCCAGCCTGAGACCCTTGACGTGAAAACCCGCGTCCAGGCTCCCCATCTGTCCGTTTGCTTCAATGCCGGGCGAGCTGCCCTGGGGGCCCAGGAACGCCGTGCCAGCAACGTTACGTCCCGGCACCTCCACCGTAACAGATTTTCCAGTTTCCCCACCAGGAACTTGGCTCTCCGGCAGTCGAGGGTCCAGCTGAGTCCTCAGGTGAAGGCCCGTCATTTGCGTTCCCGACACGGTTATCCCGGGCTTTCCGAACTGAGCCTCGCCGAGGTGGACGTCCAACTTCTGGGCAGAAGATTCGGCTGTTGGTCCAGGAGGTGCCCCCCTGGTGTCCGTGCTCCAGTCTGTGCCTTGGGTGCTTCTCCCAGGCAGATCCCCCGCTGCCGTTTTGATCATAGTTTTCCCAGGTTCTGCTTCAACGTCGGTCTTCGTCACGTGGGTGACCTCCCGGGTCGGGATCCAGATTTTGAAGTCTGGGCCGATGACGTCGACGTCTTTCGCCCCGTCATGCCTGCTGACATCGACGGTGTACGCCGTCACCTTTCTGGTGACCGTAATGGTCCTGCTCTGCGTCCCGCCGCACTCCGCTTCCACCGCCTCCTCCGACTTCAGCCGGGGTTTGATTTTCGTCGTGTAAATCCTCCTGTACTCCTCGTCATCTCCACTCTGGAA